CCCCCTGCGCCCAGGCCTCGGGGCACGGCCCCCAGCCAGGCTCACCGGAGAAGGCATTGTTGGTGTTGAGGAAGTAGACCTCCTCACGGCCGTCCCCGTCGATGTCGCAGGCTGTCACACCGATGGCGTTGCCCTGCCGGTCCCGCAGAGCGTAGTACGGGGAGCTCCGCTCGTCCTCCGCCACGTTCACCAGCCGTCCCCGTGCCTTGTCATACTTGAGCACCAGGTTGGGGCCATTGTACCTGTGGGTGCGAGCAGGGGTGATGGCTCCCCAAGGCTTGGGGACAGGATGAGAGCCCCCATCCCTGGGGGGACACCGGGTGTGACATCAGGATTTCCCCCATGATGAGCACAGCAGAGAGCTGCACGGTCCATGGAGGCCAGGGACCCCAGGCTGCCCTCAGCACCTGAACATGGGGTGGGCTCTTGGCTGCCCTTAGGGAGGGCTCAGCCTGGACCTCTTCCAGCCCGTGCTGGGCATCCTGTGTCTACCTGGCCTGGGTACCACAGGGCAATGCCAGGGCAGGGGCTGGGTGGCCAGCGGGGTAGGATGGGGCACAGGTTCATGCTTGCAGCTCTTTCCTGGGGCAGGGAAACCGGCACGCAAGGCAAATCCTCTCGGCACGCTGCTCCCCACAGGCTCCCCGCCTGCTCCCGCCCGGTGCACCAGTAAACAAGTTATACAACGGGCACCGTGGCCGCTTACAAAACGCCGTCTGGCTGCTTGGCTCAGCCTGGCTGGCAGTGGTGGCCTGGGCCCCTCTGGGGGGTCCCCGGTGCTGCCCATGGTTTGCAGCCCCAGGGTGATGCTAAGAGTGGTGGCGGGGCTGGACTCCCCCTGCCACCGTTGTGCCCTGGCTCCTGCGGAGCCCCGAGATGGGTTCTGTGGGGGTGAGGGGACCCCTCCAGGTGAGCACACCTGTGTGTGCAAGCACAGACACACCATGCTGGCAGCCCACAGCCATGCCAGCACACAGAGCCTGTGCCGTTGTCCCTGCTGTCCCCCCGCCAGCGCTCCCTTCAGCTTAGGTTTGTTTACTCTATTACCAGTTCACGTTCCTTTATTTTTAAAGTAACTCCCTCAATGTCAAATATTACTCAGTAGGAATAATAGGAATATCTTGTATTAGACATTATTTTAACACCATGATGATGATGTAAAGAAAAATTCAAACACAGCAAACCTCCTTTCCAAACAAAATACGAACCAACATTAAAAAGTTATCAGAAACACTAGGTATGTTATGTTACTTTCTTTTATGTCTTCTCATATTTGGGATGGATGACTGGATTGAAAGAACCAGCTGCTAGCAAATTCATACATTTTTCACAAAGTAATTGGAGCTGTAGGCGTGGAAAAGAGTACAGAAAACCATATTCATAATTTATGCCCATGGCTTTTTTGTGACTTCCAGAAAGCTGCAGTAACTTAAAGACAGCATTTTGAAAATCAGATCAGACTGGCTGCATCCAGGTCGGTGACAGCCACGCCGTAGTTGAGCTGTGTGGGGTTGCTGTCGTAGTCAGGTGGGAGAAGGCGGTGGGTGACGGCCGTGAACATGGGCTCGCTGCGCTGGGACCCCTCGCTGAGCCAGGCCAGGGACAGCAGGCACAGCGCCAGCATCCTGGGGACCTGGGAGAGACCTGCAGCCCGTCAGCCCTAGGAGGACACCCTGCTCCCCGCTGCCAGAGCAGCCCCACCACCCTTGCACAGGAGATGCTCTCTTTCCACCCCCTTGTCACCCATCCCAGCCTGCACCACCCCACCCAGCCCCGAGACCCTTGGGCACTGCCACAGCTCTGGCATCCCTACGCACGGACCCTCCCGGCTGCAGCTCACCCTCAGGGTTTCCTTGGGACAGGACCGTACCCCAGCGAGCTGGGAGCCAAGGCTGAGGAGGAGCAGGGTGGTTGGGAGCCCATCCCATGGGAGGGACCCAGGAGGCGGCTGGAAGGCTGACAAAACTGGGCTCAGCCCCAGCTCGCCCTGCCCCAAGGGGCCGCCGGCACCCAAGCTCCTGGCAAAGTCGTGATGCCAATCGCCACTCCTTTGGCAGGGCCAGAGGAAGCAGGCAGTCTCCTGGCTGGGGACATCATCCCCTGTCTGGCTGGGTCCTTCTGGAGCAGGAGAAGGGAGAACACGGGGACGCTCTGCCAGGTGACTCCTGTGTGCCTCAGTTTCCACACCCTGCCTTCCCGGGGGCTCTGAAGGGTGAGCTCCTTCCAGGCTGGCTGGGGCGGGTGTCTGCACGGGGATGTGGTCACGGGAAGGAGATGTTGGGAGGAACAGGAGACTGGGAGGAGAGGCTCAATTAACCTGGACTGCGGAGGACAGTGTCTGCCAGCACTGCTGGCAAGGCTGCGGAGATTCTGGAGCTGGCTCTGACCTGGCTGTAGCATAGGTGACAAGCAAGGTGGCACTTAGGACAGCCAGCCCTTGCCACAGGCCAGGCAGTCCCCTCCAGAGGGGAAAAGCCCAGCGGTGAGCTGCGTGTCCCTGGGCTGTGGGCACGAACCCACATGCCAGCACTCTACCTGGGAGCAAAAGCAGCCTGTCCCACTCTTGGAGCCTGGAGGGATGGCTGGGACACCAGGCAGGGGATACCGCTCCATGTGGCCATGCCATCCCCCTGGGCAGGGCTGTCCCCGCTTCCCAGGGAGCCAGGAACAGCACCCCCACATCGACATGAGGACAGGGGAGAACGGTCCTGCTGCCAGATGGTCCCTATGCTTGCACCCTGCCAACGAGCAAAGGAAGCTGTGGCAGCTGCATGGTGCCACATGTGCCCAGCTGGGAGAGGGGAAGCTGCCTGGTGGTTTAGATCCTGGCAGACCGTCTGGGCTGCGGAAGCAGTCTGCTGCTGCCTCCCCTGGGGATGGGAATAGTCCCAAGGGTCTTTGAGGGGCCACAATTCCCCTGCCACAAGCAAATAGCTTTGTTGCCCACCTGGCTGGGCAGGAAGGGGCTGTCCTCCAGCTGCAGAGGAGACCTTGAGCCCCACTGCCCAGCACACCCAGAGCCCCGCCATCCCACCGCCCCAGGCCCTGCTTCCCTTCCCTCTCCAATCCCATCCTTTCCCCAGGAGCAGCTGCAAGGGTGGATATGTGTGTGTGTCCCTATCTGTGCTGCTCCCATCCCCTCCCTGGCAATGACCCACATCCTCCCACAGAGCCAGGCACAGCCAGCCCCCCGCCAGCACTGTGCTCTCCACCACCCAGCCAGACTCGGGGCACTGTGCCCATCACCCTGACATCCTGTCTGGAGGAGCTCTCCAGGTGCAGGAACCTGGGTCTTTCCCTGGTGCTGGTGCCCCATGCAAGGCGCATGTGATGGGGATGGGGTTTCATTGCATTGCGCAGGGATGGGACAGTCCCTGGGTGTCACTGTGCAGTGCCAGGCAGTGAGGGAGGGAGAGCCTTCGCCACAGCCCCACACTGGGCTCACCAATATAAGCATGGAGGAGAGCCATCCACATGTGGACATATGGGTGAAGGGTTACCACGTGAGTGGTGCCCCCTCACCCCTGGCCACAGCCATGTGATGGGTGGCTGTCCCCAGGCTGCTGGCAGGACTGTCCCTGCTCTGCCTCCCCTCCAGCTTCTGCTCCCTGCAGCTTGGCCCCTTCACCAAGTGCTCCCCCCTGCCTCCCCCCCATCCAGCTGCAGCCCAAATCCCTCCAGGCTGGATGGAGCCTTTCCAGGAGGAAACAATGTTCCTGATTGGAGACAAAAGGCTTTTCCCAGCAGATCCGGTGCTTGGTGCCATGGGGAAAGGGATGCACGGCCCAGAGCCAGGCCATTTTGGGAAGCTGGAGGGAGGGAGGCTCAGGCACTGCGTGGCAAACTGGAAAGGCCTCATGGTTCCCAGCATGCTGCTGACAGCACCAAGACCACAGCATGAAGCTCCACCTGAGGTTTGAGGCTATGGGGTCCTGCTTGTACGCAGGGCAGAGCTCAGCCTGTCTTGTCTCAGCAGAGCCACATCCTGGCTTGTGTTGCGGCATCTGGTGGCAAGGTCACCCCAGGAATTGTGGTCACCCCAGGGTGCCTGCTCAGCATGGCTAAGCCCAGTGACACGAAGCCAAGGTGCCAGGCAGGGGTAGATGCAGCAGAAGGATGGGAGCAAGGCAGGGAGTGCCATGGGCACCCGTGCAGGGGGCAGCCAGGCAGCGCAGAGTGGTGCTGGCCCCATGGCAGGGATGCAGCTTGTAGGGCTCATCTGTCCTGCGCATGGCCGTAACTGGCAATGACGTGTGGGGAGGATGGGATGGGACTGGGAAGGGACCTGTGGGGCAGGCAGG